TGTAACTTTAATTATATAGAAAAGAGACGTATCTTTGGCTTCAGGGAGACATTTGTCGCAACAAAACGTCGACTAAAAACCAGAATTTGATTAACAATAACAACGAAGACATAATCAATAAGAATTATAGCGACGGTTCACTTGTGAAGTGTCATCTTCTGGACAACGATAACAATGCATTCAATTTAATCACTGGTGAAGTGAAGTCTCTCGATCTTAACGACGACTCATCGAAGTTAGAGAACAATGAAAGGGGAAGAAAACCACGAAAATGTGTGACTAATTTGAATACCTCTGGGAGTGAAGAATTGGAGACACAGGGCGACCAACTCAACAGAATCAAAGCTCAGCGCAGGAATGCCAGGTCTGCCACCACTTCGACCACACCATCGATAACCGTTAAAATAGATGACATGCGATCTCATCGTCGGTCCACTTCTCAACCAAAAGAAGACATTTATATTTCACCCCTAAAGTCGTTGAAACCGCAACAGATTAAAAGCACAACAGTTTCCATATATAATACCAGATCTGCCATTAGAAGAGGCAAAACAGTTCCTATTGAAGATCAAACCGACAAATTGAAGACTACTACTGACAACCAAACCGATGAGATAAGCATTTCAAGTGTGAAATACTTGAAAAAATTAAATGATAATTTGAATAACGCTAAGAATCAAATCTCTTCGAACACCAAAACGTAAGAATATTTTATTACATTTCAAGTTTTAAGTCATTTATATTTTACGCAAATCTCGGCGCTTATAATCTATCATAATATCTGTTATGCAGTGGCGTTTGGCGACACGTTGTCGTTCCGATACATGTCGTTCCCGTTCAGGAGATTATCTCAGATTCTTCATCTTCTTCTGCTTCTAACTCTGAATCTAATGCTAAACCAAATTCTGTCTCCAATTACTCGTATTTCCGGCGAATCCGAACTCGTTCTAACTCTCCTCTCACTCATAAACTACTTAACAAAATCTCAATTAATACTAATAATAACAGTAATAATAATAACAATAACAATACTATTACTTCAAGCACTAGAACTAAAGTTACAGTTGGCATTAATTCTGATATTAATCTTAATCTCATTTCAAACGATAATATGTGAGCTTTTCTACAAACTTTGTATATTTTATTGACTTTTCTCATCGATTGGATAATTATTTTGCAAATTGTGAATTTCAGGCCAAACTCGACAACTGGTATGCAATCCCGAGACGCGTCAAAGCCATTGGTTCGGTGACAGTCTGGCAGCTTGTCGTGCAAAAGGTCCAAACCATCCAATAGGACACAGACTAAGAGAGTTTTATGCACCAAATCAACCAAAACAGTCAAACCTTCAATTCCTCCCAAATATCCCTTCAGTAAGCAGTCGAGGAAAATGTGTCGCAAAAATCGAAAGGTTGGCAACAAAACTACCAAAAGAAAATTGTCCGCAATATCTCTGTCTGTCTGTTCCGGATCTCCAAAAAACAGTAAAAAGTGAAGCAATGATTCAGTAGTTTATTATATGATTTGCTTAAATTTGATATAAATTAACCATTTTATAGACTAATGCCACGTCTAAGCATAGATTCGCATTAAATTTAAACATTTTCCCATTATATTAATTGAGATTATTTCAAAAACAATAACATTTTTAATTTTAACAAGAGATTAGCCTCACTATCAGTCTGACGTTTTTAAGTAGGTAAATATGTATCAAAACTTAACTTTAATGTTTAAAATTTTATGTAAAATAAACAAATCTAAAATTTTTATGAGTTTGAAATTAATAAAACCAGTTAAACACCGACTTAATTAAGTATAACAAACTATTTTAGATACGCGACTGTATGTGAGACTGATTTCTCAATAGACAAACATTTTGTAAATATTGTATTTTTTGTTTTATCGCATCAATCATTCACTAACTGTTTTCTAAACACACGACGAGTGAGCCCTAAATAAGCCCACGATTAATATATGCAGTATTGAGCTAACGGTGTAATCAAACCGCACTTTCATTCAAATCAATACATATATAACAATAATTTTATACTTAATAAACGTAATAATAATGAATAATATATGCAATTACAAGTAAATTCTGTTGGAATTGCAAATTATGATAGGAGTAGACCATCACTTCATATGTAACAACCGAATGTGTAATCACTTTTCACTTAATGTTTTTATTTGAATTAATGTCTGACTTTCTAAAAAAAACTTTTTATAAAACTATAATTTTATAATACTTTTTGACCACAATTTAGAGTTGTGTCGATCGGCTATTATATAATCGCAGAGATTGTTAATCTTGAAGCGATTTAAAATAGTTTTGCACATGTCTTCAAATTGAATTAACATTTATTATAATTTAATATACAATAATTTATATCATAAAAATATATTGAAATACCTTAATATGAGAATAGTTTGTCATAACTAGAGAGTAAGTATTCATTAAAAACAATACAAAAACTCCATATTAATAAACTCTATAAATAAATTTCGAAATTAAACAATTATAAAGTATACAAAGATATTTAATATTATAACATATAAACGACTAAATTTAATCCATATATTAGTTTTACTATTAAAACTAGTAACTCATGAATTTAACTATAATCCAGATTATTATCAAAAATATGTCCTAATATTTGTGATTTTTGTTTACTTTTAATCAAAAAATTCCATTTATTAGTTATTTATATCTATGTTTAAAATGGATGTAGATAATTTAACAAAAAACAATTTACATGTTTTCAATGATTTGCAGATATGTAACATTTCTGTCTGTATTTATATTAATTATATCTGATTTCCATTATTTCTAAATTTACTTTGGATTTATTTGACGATTTATGTCTTTATAAAAAATTTATAATGAATTAAAACTTATAAACATTTGATAATAACTCATAATATATACAAATATATTGTAAAAATTATATATAAGTTATAACATAAATGTATTTTATTATAAATTAATGTAATCTAACTAAAATATTGAAGTAAAATAATAAAATAAAAAACAAAATAATTAAATTAATAAAATAACATTAAATTAACATAAAGTTATTTTACTAAAAGTTATAGTATAAAGTTATGTGGTATATTACATATTATTTCTCAATTATAATTAAAACCAATGATTAATCAAATGTTTGAAAATAGCGGCAATGAATGGGGAGGGCTTTTAATACGATCACTGCAAACACCCCTACCCTTTGTAAGCCTGTATTGAAAGCCATGTTTAATGTATTAGCGATTGTATTGAGTGAAATGTGAGCGCAATAACAATCAGTCACTCATTGATTGGTTTGTATTTTAATTGTTAACAAAACAATCGATGCTTTGAAAGAAATTGAATTGATTTAGTGATGAGTTGAGTGTGTATTGACTCAAACCATAGTAAGAATAGTATTGTGTAATGAATTCTCGGGAAACAGAGTTTAAAGGTTTGTCTCTCTTTGTGTCACTGTTTTGACTCTTGTTTTGGACACTAAATGAATGAATGAATTGATTTTGTGGTCAATTCGGTCATCACTTGTAACCACAGACTAAATGTGTTGAACAATGACTTGAATATGAATAAGCAATCAGTGATCCGATTGTCATCTCATCCTCTCATGTGATGTGACTTTTGTTAACCATTTGTTTGATTTGTTTTTGATTTCAATTAGCGTTCAATTGATTTGTATTTCAAATCCGCAATTGTTTTGACTTTTATTTCTCTTTGACTTTAATAATTCTTATTGATTATGTCTTCGTTGTTATTGTTAATCAAATTCTGGTTTTTAGTCGACGTTTTGTTGCGACAAATGTCTCCCTGAAGCCAAAGATACGTCTCTTTTCTATATAATTAAAGTTACAATTAATATAAAACGAATGACTACTTAAATAAAGACTCACTCTTGAAGCCAATGCTGTTGAAATCCGATTATAGAACCGGGTCTACAGATTCGTATCCAAGCGATTGCTTCTGCGGCCGTGAATTTGTAGTGTTTCATAATATAACAGGCGATTAGAGTTCCCGTTCGGCCCAAACCAGCTGTCAATACAATGAGACAATTCTTGTATTAGAGAATAATATAAATATAAAGCACATGTCATACTAACCCTTGCAGTGAACGGCGACGGCTCCGCTAGTATTCTCAGAGATGTCGAGAAACTGTCTCATAATGGCATCGCTTGGAGTGCTTCCATCGATGAAGAAGAGGTCCCTGTGATCGAAGCCATTGTCGATGAATCGGTTCGCGTCGTACAGCTTCTTATTGAGCCGAACAATTGTGGTCACGTTATTCTTGCGGAAGTACGTGAAGTACGACTCCGGAGAATGCAATGCATAGCCGTTCTCCACCACTGACTTGGAGTNCCATTGTCGATGAATCGGTTCGCGTCGTACAGCTTCTTATTGAGCCGAACAATTGTGGTCACGTTATTCTTGCGGAAGTACGTGAAGTACGACTCCGGAGAATGCAATGCATAGCCGTTCTCCACCACTGACTTGGAGTGCGGCCCACAAAATGCAATGAACTTATTGGGAACGATCCAATTCAGGTCCCCGTTCTCCACCTTCTGCTCCGTTTATATCATCAGAAATTATATTTTTAACTATAATTCAAATATACACACAATAATACAGACCTCAAAGTATTGATACTCTTCGATATCAAACTTTTCAAAATCCAGAAACTTGTGTTTCAAAGCCTGTAATTTAAGGCGCGATTAATATTTCAAATAAATGTTAAATTAAATATAGATACTGTATTATATCATATCATAATTATATCATATACAGTACATGTACTGTAATATTAAAAATGGTTTACCTTTTTGACGGCTTTAAAGCAGTCAATCAAATACAAGTGATAACTACAGGGACCGAACGCCGCGTCTCTAAATGGCAAGAAATGTAGTCCATTGTTGGCCATTAACTTATTGTACACATCTTCCGGAGACGCCGCGAGATTTATGATCTATAATACAAATCAAATCACTTATATTTGGGCAAAAATTTCAATTGATTGGTTGTATTCAATGACATACACAATACGATCCAATAAGATATGCGGCGTTTACGCGCTTTTTAGAGTCAGTGGTGGTGTAGTGAACGATACGCTAGAACAAACTGACAATATAGTTATGTAGAATTAATGTTAATGACATATAAAAATTAAGATATTAGTACATATTTCTCAAATTACTTTACTAACGTTTTTACCAGGTTTAAAATTGGTGTAAACTTAAATGAGAAGTTAAATGCTCCATACAAATATTCATTTATTTCGTGATTAGACAATATTATTATAAACGTAAATATAACATTTCAGACTTGTTTTTTGACATTCCGGACTTGTTTATAAATCTCCTAGATCATTTATGGAATTCATTATTTAATTTCACAAAATCATACCCAGATACCCTAGGTACAAGTCTGCCATTAACATCATATACAAAATGTGCATGGTTATTCACTTGATTTTGTGGAGAAATTTTCTCAACAACAAAAAAATTAAAATTATTAGTATTAAAAGTATTAACTATTAGTTATTTTTAATTGTTTATAATTAATTTTTAAATGCAAATAACATGAAATATATAAATAGCATAAAAGTAATACTGTATTATATTTAAAATAAAAATAGTTTGTTTAGGTATAAAAATTTTAAAAAATAAAAATTTCGCCCAAAGCTTGTATTAAAACTTTGGTATTTTTAAGTACCATTAATTATCATTGTACCGTAATTATAATTTAAATTAATATGAACGCACTAAAATAATTACGTGCATTCATTATAACCATAATAAAAAGGCAAGAATTGTGACTGAATTGATAATTTTAATATAACTTTAATGAATTTACGCCACAATTAGAAAATAGTTTGAGTCAATTCTATTCCTCTCATTCATACCTTTCCAATAAACATCAATATTGATTGAATTGATGTCAAACTCCATTTAGAATTGAATATAATATCCAATCATTAGTTTCAATTGCAATAAATGTCAATTACATGCAAAACAAACTGCTTTACAAATAAGTTATTTTATAAATTATTCCAAATAACACTAATTAATGGTGCGATTAATTCTCAGCACATAATAAAAAAGGGATATTATGTTAATGCATCGATAATAACATGTAAATATGAAATAATTGTCATAAAGTGGTGTTAAAGTGAATTTAGTATTAATAATCTCAATTAGATTGAGGCCACAAATACAGCTCCACTTGTATTAGCTATTAAATGGACAGCAAATACACGCAAACATCTGACTATACATTACAATACAGTATACATGTATTGCAGTGCAAAATGATTGGTAATTTAGAAAACCTTAATTTGTTTGAATAAATGATGAGAGAATCAAAATTGAAAGCCTTTCTACGATCGTTAGGTACACATCAACGCTGAAAATGGTACTCAAATCAAAGCATTCATTTATAAAACACTATTTCAAACCATTTATTGTCCAAAATTGAAAAGCAAACAAAAATGATTGAAAAAAAGTAATAAATCATAACTAAAAACGTCATTAAAAGTAATGAATTGAATGAATTGTTTGTCTAAACGGCAACACAACCCGAAGGAGTGATATGTCTGGAGTCCAGACCTTGACTGGAGGTCTCACACCTACACAACTATGCATTCAGTGCCAGCGCTGGACTCCTTCCTCACAACTCTTTGCCATTCAATCAATAAAATTAAACACAAAAATAGTGTGGGTTTTGACTTTGAATGACAGAAATTAACTTTCGTTTCAATCAAACCAACA